AATTCTGTTGTTTTATGATTGACGTTTATTTTTACTGCTTGTTTTTCCTTAGTGTGATCATTAGTGTGTGTTATTGCTCCAGTAATTTTAATTCTGTATGATGTTTTTGTTTTGCTGCCTATGTTTTGCTACATTTCTGTTAAGCACTTTGATAACAGTTTATCTGTTTTAAATTGTGCTCTACAAATAAAGATGACTTGACTTGATATATATATATATATATATATATCCCTGGATACATCACATCAAAGATGTTTGTGTTAACATATACATGAATAATGTAATAAAAAAACATGCTTCACTTACTTTTTATTAAATAAAACCTATATTTTTTAAATGTATTTTTATTTCTTGGTTAGTTTATTTAAATATGTATTTTTGTTTTTTTTAACAGTAATCATTATTATTATGTTTTCTTTAGTTTCTGTTCATTTTGGACAGTTTTCTCATATGTTGCCGTGGTCACAGATGGTCAGTCAGATTAACTTGGTGGTCTGTTTGTGAGTTGAAGGCCACAGTGTTGAACCTGCTTTAGTCCTATTAATGCCACGTTAGTTAAGCTGCAGGAACGAGGTTTGAATAAACAGTTACTTGAGTTTACACCGACTTATCTGAAGGAGACCACTGGAGTTGAAGCAGCACACTTTAACATGAAACAAAAGTAAGCAAACTAAATAAACAAGCATTATAAAAATGTGTGTAAATAAGTGTTTGGCTAGGTAAATTAAAAAATATTATGCAACAGACACACTGGAGGACTCGGTTCACATGTTCCAGCTTTCCTGGCCAACATGCCACTGATATAAAATTAGAAATGAATGATTCATGAAACGAATGAAAGCAATGGCACACACATTACATGCACGTGGCTGATATCACGTGGCTGAAAGGCCAAGACAAGGCTGATGTGTCGCTGAAGTTATTAAAAAGCAACGTTTTGAAAAGATTACAGGTAAATATGAATATTGGTGGAATTTGTTTCCTTGGAAAACCACTGGGTGTCCCACTGGAACAGGAAGAATCAGAGAGGATTTTTTTTTTTAAAAACCATAAAATAAAAGTGAACGCTCACTTTGAGTTCTTTGAAACAGGATAGTAATTTCTGGTCTTATCTATAAAGTAATTTTTGTACTGTTTACCTGTGTCTGGCACTTCTTTCTGCTGGATAAAGTTTAAAAACACACTATATATGTTTCTTTGTTTGTTTTTTAAAGCTAGAGTAATTTCCATATAAAATTCAGCCTTGGCATTGTTTGGTTATAGGCTATTCTAAAGTGCAGCATGTGAAAGCAAATATCTTACAGCCAGATCCATGATATTAAAATATATCTAAACAAGTAAACTGCATGAGAACAATATATATTTCCCTGTTATTTCTTCTGATTCTGTTTTGATATTTTAGTGTTCATGTTTGCAAACAACTCCAGGGCACGTTCACGAAGCTGTAGGTGCAGCAGCATAAAGATAAACACTAGTATCATCTGCAAACATGATTACAGCGCTAAATGCTAATATGTTAAACAGGAATATTGTTCCTGTTCAATCAGCCAGACGGGTTTATTCTCTTGGATAATGAATATAAAATGTGGTTGTACCAAGATATTTTAGCTGCAGTTGTGCTGCACATAAAGCTGAGAGTTTCCTGGCCTTGTTTTTTATATGACAACATAAAAATCACAACAACATATTCTGCTTTAAATCTTCACAGCTCTAAACAGGGATTAAACTCATCTTTGTGCTTTCTTTGCTTCTTCTCAGCTGTGCTGCATGTTTTCTAAAAGAAATATGAATTTCAAAGTGATTTAAGGTGATGGGGGTATGAATGGACGGGGAGCCGAAGGAGGCGACTAATGAAATGTCTGCTGAGTCGATGCAATTCAATCGGAGGGGCAGCCACTGGAGACCCCAGGGAGGTGACACTAAAAATAGAAATCCACAGTCCATGGGTGACGTCCCCTCGGAGCCTCATTTTTCATTATAAGCTGCCATTTTCACAGAATCATGCAAATATAACACATATTCAAAGGTGCCATGTGATTTATTAATTAATAATTAAGATAATTATTTAACATACGGTAGTTTAGACATGGTGAGTGTGCCATGACATCTGGAACTGATTCTAAAACCAGCCTCTGTGAGGAAGAACATATTCATCTGCAAATATATCTGTTAATATATGTAAAGACACTTTAAAATTCCTCCATTAGGATCAAATGTAGTGGTATGATTCAAACTTGGGCACAAAACGCATGGAGTTTAAACTATTGTAATGTTAGAAACAATGCTCACAAACCAAAACCAAAGAGAGTTCAGAGCCAAAACAAAGGAAACTAGCCATCAAATTCAGACCATCCATTTAAAGTTACATCAAAACTAAACCAAAAGCCTGAAACAGTTCTGCTGATAACTCCCAAACCAAAAGAAATATTAATGGAAATCGTGATTAACAAAAAATGTTGTGGTGCAACAAGGCTGCAGTCAAAGGGGGAGTGGGACCTGCAACCAGCAGTCATCAAGCCAACCCCAGCATCCTCCAGTCTGTCTTCCCTCTAGAGGGCGCCTGGGCGGAGCTTGTTCCTTTTGAAGTCTCTCCAGCCAATCAGCTTTAGAAACAGAGGACACTCATTTATAAATGACACAGGGGCTGTTTGTAGTTTCTCAAATTCTCATGATTCGTGTAATTAGCTCATGATGTCATCAGACTGATCCTTCTGAACTGGTTCCTCTTTAGTAACCAGCGGTTGGATTCGATGCATTGTGTGGCAGATCTGTGGTTCTCTTTGCACCGGGCACCGGCCTGCATCTGGCACCGACTGTACCTCCGTTCTGGACTGAGACTGACATTTAAGCTCCAGTCGAGACAGACTTTGAGGAGTCTGAGTTTCAGCCACGTCCTCCATCACTGGTTTGTTGTTTAGTCCAAAGATGAATCGCAGATTAAGAACACTCAGGTTATGCAGCGATGCTTATAATTTCTGCATGGAATGAGTGATGGATGACTGAGTCAGAGACGTCCCTGTGGAGACAGATTGCTGCAACAAAGTTCCTCCTCCACAACAGGAAGTGCAACAACTTTAGAAGCAAGAATAATAGTTGCATCCTTTTAAATAGATTTTCAGAATTAAACATGCAGATTTTTGAAGGAGACAAAAAAATAATCTGCATAAAAATAATCATCCTTAGTTTATTTGGCATTACGCCCAAGTAATCTTTAAAAGAATCACATTTTCTTGGTCACATCGGCGCTGATCATTCAGTTGTGCTTGTTACATTTAACAGTTTTTACCTTGCAGCTACAAATGCTCCCACACTGGTCCTGCACATGCCGCAGTCTTTTTGCAGGCTCTGCTAACTGCAAACATCTTTTGTTCTGCTGTGGGTCAGGACTTGAGTCTGTCAGCCGAGGTCAAACCGGAGGAATCCAAAGAAGCATCCTGCTGGTCTCTTTCACAAGATTTAATAAAAAGGAGTTTGAAACACTAAA